ATACATATATGTATATATATATATATATATATAGATATATATTCCACTAGGGGAGGAATTTGTTAGATGCTAAGTTTGATTTGATCACTTCCAGTTCATGACTGTCACTTTTCTTTGACCGAAAGTTGAAAATACATGCTTGTAAAATTTGTTTGATTAGGGGTTGTTCGATACCATATGTTTCTTGTGCCAAGTACGTCGAATACAAGAGATTTTTCAAATTTTGGAGTTTAGATGAATGAAAACTGATAGGTATAAGATTTTGATGGACTGACGAGTTTATTTTACGAAAGCTAGGGGTTGACGAGCTTTTTTCAGTTCATTCAAATTTTGGAGTTTAGATGAATGAAAACTGTCAAAAAAGCTCGTTGTTCACGAACAGTTCGTGTTCGGTTCGTCAAAGAGTTAGTGTTCGATTCGTTCAATAAGTAAACAAGACAAACGTGAACAATTATTTTTCATTCGGTTAGTTAAACAAACCAAACACGAACAGTGATGTGTTCGCTCGTGTTCAAATCGCTATTGTTCGAAATATAAAATAATTTAAAATAATTATATATAAAAAATTGATGATGTTTTAAAAAATTAAATTATATAAATTATAATATATAATAAATTAGTAAGAATAATATATTAATATACTATATTAGTAATATATTAATATAAATATTAAATATTTATATAATATAAGTTATATAAATAATATAATATATATTTATATATATTAATATAAGGAATGTCAAACTGGTTCGTCATTCGCGAACAGCTCGTGTTCGGCTCGTCGTTAAGAAACAAACACAAACAGTGACTTCACAAACTTCGCCCACTTTGAGATTGAGACACTGACTGCATCACTTACTGGATGCATCATGTACTAGTTGTACCGACATTTTCCTCAAACATGATATCATCCACCTATGCAGCTCGAAGCCCCTGTCTTCATGCCAGAAGACCAACTGAAGTTGAGCACAACTTCAGCTTCTCATGAGTAACACCCTCAGTTGACATATCATCATCAACTTAGCCTTGTACCACCAAGTTATTTCCTTTGTTACTCCTGTATCTACTTATAACTCTCACTGCATGAACAATATTCTGCCCCTGCTGAAAACCCTTTTCAACAAGTCGAGCCTTGTACCTCTTACTGCCACCAAATATAGTCTTCACCCGGTACACCTACTTGTTGTGCAATATCTTCTTCCTTGGTAGAAGTTGTGCCAACTCTCAAGTTTGATTCACTGACAGGAAATCCGTCTCCTCCTTGGTCAACTCTCACTTGCTCGAATTCTCATTTTGCAAGACTTCTTCATAGCACTGTGGCTCTCCACCATTTGTCTGTACAAGGTCCGATCTTCTTTCATTTGGCGCTCTGCCACTTTTCAGGAAACCGACCTTCTTCTGCTTCCTCATAATGTACCTCTAACTCATGTGGTCCAATTTTCCAGTGATAATGCTACTTTGGTAATCTTCCAGATGCTATCTAAGAACACTACCGAATGACCACTCTCATTGAGTTGCTCAACAGAGATGAGGTTTTTCTTCAACTCAATAAAGTGTCTAACCTTTTGCAAAGTCCATTTACTATTGTTAGAGAGTGCAATATCAACGTCCCCTATCCCCGCCACGTTCAAAGCTACTCCATCAGCCAGATATATCTTCCCAAAGTTACCTGCAACATAATTTCGCATTAACTCCCGAAGGGAAAATGTATGGAAGGAAGCCCCTGAATCCAGTCTCCAGTCATCAAAAGAACTGTAAACTGTCAGAAATAGTGCATCTTGTATTTCTTCAGTTACAACATTAGCGTCATCATTCACCTCCTTCTTAAGCTTCCTGCAGTTCCTTTTCATGTGGCCAACCTTGCCACAATTCCAACAAGTTGTCGTTAACCAGACTTTGATTTTGATTTTCCTTTGTTTGAGTTCTTATCTTGTGATCTCCCTCTGAAATCAACATTCAGCTCTTAACTTGAACACGAGGTCTCGCTAGAATCCTTCTTGCGCACCTGCTTTTCTGCACACCTCAGCCAAAATCAAATCACAAATATCATCATATTTCATCTTAGATTTACCCGCAGAACTGTTAACTGACATCCTCATGACTTTCTAGCTATTTGGTAATGAAACCAAAAATATCAACGCACATATCTCATCATCAAAATCAATTTCAACAGATGACAATTGATTTATGATAATATTGAAATCATTCAGGTGTAGAGCAACAAACACCTTCCGTCATCTTCAAGTTGAATAACTTTTTCATCAGATGCACATTATTATTCGCCAATGACTTTTCATGCATACCTGATAAAGCCGTCATGAGATCTACAGTAGTTCTCTCCTTGATGACGTTGTGGGCAACCGAACTTGACAGGGTTAATCGTATAATACCCATAACCTGTCGATCCAACAGATTCCATTCCGCCCCGTCCATCTTTTCCAGTAGTTTTCCTAGTAACGGAAGATGAAGTTTCTTCCCATAGAGGTAGTCCTCTATCTGCATCCTCCAGTAAACAAAATCTATGTCATTGAACTTCTCGATCCCCTATGTCATCACTTTGTCTCCGCCTATCGTTCTTTTTTAGATTCGAACCCAAGCTCAGATACCAATTGTTATGAAAAACGACGGAAAAAAGCGAAAAATGGAACAAGTAAAATTGCACGCAGAAAAACACCAAAGCGACACACAGATTTATGTGGTTCAACAAATTTGCATACATCCACGGAGCTGCAGAAAATTTTATTTCTTCGAGGAATTACACCGTTGAGCTACTCGACATTTACAAGAAAATCTCTATTTTCTTCTCTCCCTTCTTCTCTATCTCTCTCTGCCTCTTTTTCTCTTAGCTCTTAAGAGGACTTGGTTTGGCCATGCTTGGCTTGACTCTTGGTATCTCCTTTAAGTCAAAAGAGACTATTTATAGAAATCATGAGAGCGGTATGTGGGAGGTAGGTGTGCGGTAGGTGGGTGTAATATGTGAGCGGTGGGTGGGTGCTGTAGATGAGCGGTAAGTGGGTGTAGTAGATGAGCAGTAGACAAGATTCTTAATTAGAAAACTAATTAAATTTCGGTAGATCGAGTCTCCACATTAACCAACAATGCATATTTGACACTCACGAAGTTGATTTTGCATAGGTAAAAGGCAACAAAGAACCATGTTTTTTACGAGGTCTATTGTCTTCTTGTAGGAACAGATTCGTTGGTTAGAGTTGTGAGTTCTCTAAGCCCTCACACCTGATTTTTTGGGTTAATTCATGCTTGTATATTCAATATAGTTTCTGTTTATTTCCTTTTTTTTTTTTAAATTTAATCTAGGTCCTCACGTCTGTTGTTTATTTCTTTATTCAATATTATTTCTTATTTTCGATTTCCACGATTTTTTTATTTCATGTAATTTTATGAGTAATGTGTTTTCTCTTGAATTATTCTAGGAAGATGAGCTTCAGGTTTTTGGGAAACTCCAGACGAGTGTTGTGTCGCGGTAGGCAGACGGTCCAGACAAGTGTGAGTTCTTCAGGTGGGCAGGAAGCAGACAGTCTGTCTGATTCCACTGCCGATAGTGATCAAGATATGATGGTATCCCTACAGACTAGCGTTGCTTGTGACATGCTTCTGCATT